TTCTCAGGCTTCCCCAGGGATCATTTCTTACATTTTCAGCTTATTTTGATGCACAGACTGAGGAGATCATCTCTAGTAAGACAGAGTTTGCTGAGTGTTTTCCATTTTAGACTCCAGACAGGTAGGAAGCCACGAAGGAGGCTCTTGTACTGTGGATTCAACACCACGAGTGTCTTCCTCAGGGCTGCTGGCACTGATGTTTGTATGCAGGGAATTACAAAATTCACATCCCAGGAGGGAGCAGTGTGAGTTCCCCTGTGGGAGTGTGATGTGCATGTCTGGAGTGAGGCAGTTTTAGGAATGAGCTGCTGCTCAGGGAGGGGAGCTGGGACACCAACACACACACAGGCTGGAGCAAAGCAGATCTTTTTGCACTGCCACAACCACGCCAACCCGAACAAACTTGAACAATAATAAATCACAGAGTTTCCTCTACCTGGGGGAAATTATAAGTGCAACTACTGTACAGTCAAGGATTTTATTGCCTAATATTTTAACAGGGTATTCTGGAGAACACATATTAAATGCAGCCTCTCCCTTGGAGAAAAATGAATAAATTGCATTGCTAACCCTCTCAAACCATGGAAGAGGTTTGACCAAGGAGAAACAATATGAAATACCCAGCTAAAAATACCCCTTTATTGCAAAACTTGTTTATTCACTGTATCTCTGCTTTTTTTCTTTACTTGCAATTTCTAGGATAGAGAAAATAGCATATCCAGCTGGGGCAAAACTTTACAAACATCAAAAGAATTTATAGCAACAGAACACAACCACAAAGAGCAACTTGCATCCATACAGTAGCCTGGTTTTGAGAATTTCTCTAGTTTTGATAAAATATTTAACTCACAGCTGCTCTGACAGAGACAGAGCAACTAAAGCACTCCAACATGTGTGATGAGCAAGACTCAGCAATACAGCATAAATTCATCACAAGAAAATAGCACGGCAATTGTAGATAATTGTATGTTCTTTCTATACAAACTCTCACACAGCCACACTTAAGCAATATTTGGTTTCTAGCTAGTGTTCCCCCCCAAACTGTAAATATTACCAAAAATTGCTCATGTCTGTAGTTCTTCAGAGAGAGAAGACAGGATGATGGACAGAGAGTGCTGAGGTGTGTTAAACAAATGAGCAGAATAAGAAAGTCTGCAAGGCTACCACCTATGGAACTAGCTATATCCACTATCAATAATCTGTACTATGTGGGAGGGAGAAGTACGCTAGTCATAATTTAAATTTTGGCAATTTTTCCTGACTCAAACATTGAAAAGAATTAAGGCACCAGAGAAAAAAGTACTGCTTTGAAAGAATATCCAGTGGCTGCACGTGCTGCTGACACCTCCCTCTTTTCAATTACTGAACTAAGAGTTAAGGCTGCTGCTGCTTAACAGGATTTTTCATTTCTTCTTCAGGAAAACATTAGGAACCACCACTTAATTCTGTAACAGCAGAGAAAAGATAATACTGAAACAAATACAGAAATTAGAAAAGAAGCATGCCTTCCAAAGGTCAAACTTTAAAGTGAGAAGGCTTAAAGACACATGTGCACAGCACTGGATCATCACCACTGCATGAACAATCCCACCTACAACAGAACAAAAATGCAGCAGCCAAATCTTTGCAATCTAGCCACAGACAATGTGACTATGACAACAAAAATATAGCCTGGAATGTGGGTATTTCACCAAGGAGTTCTTGGTTATGCACAAAAAAAAAAAAAAAATACTAAGTTTCTGCACTAAAGCTGAGTCCTTTATATATACCAACACTGCAAACAGTGCCTGAGACAAGATCCAGTCCACTTAGAAAAGCTATTCATCCTTTTGCTTTAGCATACCTTAGAGATATGGCCCATGACAAGAAAGATTTATTAGTTTTTTTTAAGACCACTGGAAGAGCCCTGTCACCCCACCTGCTGATCTGCACAGGCTGCTTCTGCAAAGCTTCAGCACCTTCCTTCAGCAGAGCTAAACCCGAAAGCAGAACTGGCTCTGAGCTCACAAAATTCACACCAGACCTCACCAGGTAGAGCAAATCTTTGCTCCAAGCCTCCCTCCCTTCTTGGCAGCAAGTTCCCCACTCAGGGTGTGCAACCCACATTACCAATTCCTCAGGCAGAAAAGTGCTTCACATGCTCAGGGATGAATTAACACCTTTCCCACACAAACACTGGCACTGTAACATTCCTGGCCACGCTGCCTTTGCAGGCTCAGGGAGGGCCATGAGCAGGGTGAGGTTTTACATAAGGAATCAATAATGTTTCTCTGCCGTGGGGGTTTCTTTGATCAGCACTTGAAGGATGTATGTTTAATAACAGAACAATTTCAAGCTGTAAGAGGATGCAGTCTGGAGAAGCAGCTTCTGTCTTATGGGCTTCTTTTGAAATTTGCTGTTGGAAATGTCCTGGAGCTCATGGAGCCAGCTCATTGCTGCAGGAATGGCCCTCAGCCTTGCACAGCCAACACAGCATCTCCCCTGCCAGCCTAGAAGTGAGGTGTAACAGCCTCATCAGAAAAACCAGCAGCATCTGACCCCAGGCTGACCTGAAACACGGTGATGGGAACACATTTCCAGAGATGAGAGAGGGGCTCAAATTCCCTCAGGTCTTGGACCTACATCTCCCACACCTGCCCTCTCTTTGTGTCCATATCACCAACATCCTCTTCTCTTTCTCTTTGTTTTCTGAAACAAAACCCTTTTCTTTTGGGCTGAAATAAGGGGGGAAAAAAGCCCTAAAAACCTTCTGAGGCGCTCTCTGCCATATCACTGGAAGGCATTGTACTTGTATTCACTGGCTGTAAATGCTCTGCAGATTCATCCTCTTTAATTTCTCTGGCTTTTAAGTGCACAGTATCCACCAGGTTCAAAAGAACAGACATTTCTGGAGTGTGACTGAGAACAAAATCTGGTGTGAAGAAGAGTGTTTTGAGCCATCTATCAACAAGACATTCTCCATCTCCGCTCCCCATAAAAGTCTCTCAAGTTTGACACCCCCAGGTCCATTAATCCACCAGCAGCATGACCCAAAACTGATTTATGTCCATTCACATGGGTCAGAGACCCACAACCTGGGTCTCCATAAAAAGGATCAGGCTCTGGAAAATGACTTCTCAATTGTAGCATGGCCAGCAAGGGCTGAGTATTGGGGAACAGCCCATGGGATGAAATACTTGCTGGGATAGTTAAATCTCATAGCACTTTTCTCCAGGACCATCTAAGCCATGAAACTGGCCTCTGTTAGTGGTGTACCCAAAGCTTAAATCTTTGCTGTTTGTTTGTCCCTGTATTTCTGTCAACAGTGCCTATCCCTCCATATGAGGAGCAGCTCTTCCCTGAGCTGGGAACACCATCACCACTCAATGCCCATTTCTCACTGATGATACACGGCCAGAAAGACAAGAAGAAAACATCCTAAGGAACGTTCTTTTCTTTTATGAGCAGTCCCTTTCAGTGGGATACACCACATGCAGAGCTTTAGTCAAACATCTGGCCTGATTCTGGCAAACATAAGCACATCAATGAGCTTTTTTTGATCTGTACTCCATCAGGGCACACTCTGCCCAGTCCTCTGGAAGAACACACCTTTCTTTCCTCTTGCATCTTGTGGAAAATGGACTCAGCACAGGCAGCTGGGTGGACCTTGGGGATTCACATCCTGGTAAAGCGTCTCATTCAGACCCCTCAGGCTGCTCCCCACCTCTAACATCTTGAAAGCTCTTGTAATTTCCCCAGCTGTTTGGGCTGGCAGCACTTCCACAACAAATGTGCTTGAGGATAAGAGCACTGCAAGAACCTCAGTTTAGAAACCAATAGCTTGGAGCAGATGGACTCAACCAAAAGCTGAACAACGGGACTGTCCTGTCCCTTCTCTACATTCAAAGGGCACTCACAGAAAAACTCTAAACCTATTAGAATTTGCCAAAGTAACAGGCAGCTCGATCTCTGAATTGCATTTCCTAAGCCAAAAGTGAGATTTTATTATGCTGCAAGAATCTGTGAGCAACGTGATGTCACTATTGCTTCTCTTCTCTGAGAAGGACAGAAACATGCCTGCTTTTTTATTTATGACAGCCTCTTTTAAATTTTACACTTTTTCCTTGATAGTCAGCTTGTCTCAATACTTTCTTTCAAAATTAAGAAGAAAATGGAAAGCTAGCAAGGAAAAAAAGAGTCTCTGCAGTGAGTCCTTTTATGTATCAAGCTAGTCAACAGAGAATGTCTTTCACAAAATGCCCCACAATTTGTGGTAAAAAATTCACGCTGCATGCATGCAAACACCACACCAGCTCTGCTGCATTCACACCCTGCTTCCTTTGCAGCACTCAGATGATGTGAAGCACTCACAGCCCCTGTCCATGGGTGCCAAGTTTAGAAAAGCTCTTTCCCACCGGAGTGCCTCAAAGCAGGACGCACAAACATGAGAACTGCACCAAAATAGCCAGCAGCAGGTGTGACTGCAGGAGGCTGTGGGAACAGCAAGAGGGATCTCATCAACTGAGCTCCAATCAGAAAGCAAGCCACAGGAGGTGACACTTTGCAGACTCCTGCCCCAACACACTCTCACCCCACAGCACCAAGGAAAAAGATATGGCTTGTAGGAATGTGCAAAGCAGGATCATAATATGGATTTATACGGCTGGAACCCAACCAGCACGGCACAAATTGAGAACTGTGGGCTTGAGCATGTGCCAGGATCCAGAGTGCAGTCTCTGCAGTGTTCCTGCTCACACAAGTTAAAACTTGTTCTGCTGCATCTTCCATCTTCCCTCCACATGATGTGCCTTCTGTGCTAATCCATTTGTTCTTTTGCACTGACTCACTCTCTTTCTGGTTTGCTGCTGGGCGGGACCAGGAGAGGGGATACACGTATTGGGGTGTGCTAATGGCTCTCCTACCTGTCTGCTTCCAAAATCAGAGGCTTTCTCCACTCTGCCCACACATGCACACATTCTTCAGTCCTGCTGGATTCAAAGCTTGAATGCTTGACCCAGGTGGAGCTGCACAAAGGGCACTGAGGAGGCTCAGGAGGAGCTGCCAAAGGCAGGGAGCAAACACCAGCTCCCATGGCCCTGGCTGCTGCTGGCTAAGATGGACACATTCCAGCCTCTGCACATCTCTGGCTCTTCAAAGCTGGTAATCACATTTGGGAGGTGGCATGCTACATGATCAGAGGCAGGAACTTGAATGTTATTTAGTTTTTTTAACAATAAGCTTATAGCTAGCAGTGAAGAAGATAATAGGCTGACTGCTTGCCTAGACTAACAGCTGCTGAGAAAAACAATAGAGATCTAAGTCTGCAGAGTAAGATGGCAGCCTCTGAAGGCTCAAGAAGTTCCAGATCATCTAAGACCTTCCTTCAACACAGCATTTTCACTGCAGGTGTATTTTATGCAAAGCAAATTTTGAGCTTATCAAGCCTCTTTATTTCCCCCATATGCCTCCCCCTTTCACAGCTCATCTCTGTCCTTCCTCTCAATCCCTTTGCCCCTCCATCAGCCTCCAGAAGCCAGAATACATCCATGTCTCCTGTAGGACGCCCTTCCTGCATTCCAAATTCAGAGAGTTTTCATTCCGCTCCAACAAACTCAACACACTTCAGCAGAATTACTGGGAGAAAGCTCTGGTCCTGCCACATTCTGGATCTGTTGCCCCTTGTCCCTGAATTTTTGGGGTGCCAAGATGAGTGACATTCAGCCCTGCTGGATGCAGGCAAAGCAAACCTGTGTGGTCCCATGAACCAGTCAGAGACTCTTAGCACCGTCCCACCATATCATTTGATACCCTTAATTCATTCCTTGTTGAAAGGAAATAAAAAACAACACCACCACCATAAAACACAGCTAAAAAAGCATTTTCAGCACATCAAACAACACTGCTCTGAAAACCCAAGGCAGAGGCAAGGAAGTTTGTGAGGCGAGGCGAGGCAGACTCCTCCTGACACCTCCATCCCTTGACGAACGCGCGCTCCCGAATCCCGAGCCCAAGCCTGCCATATAAGGTGCTGATATCTCTGCAAAGGCAAGACAAGCTTTAATGCTGCAACTAAAAGGATGAGAGAACATTGCCTAAATCTGGCAGGTCCCTAAAGAGGGAGTGAGCTTTTCATCATAAATGTTTCTTCAGTTATTTGGGGAAAGAAACGCAAATCGGAAGAGAAGTTGCAGAGAGAACAGCCCCTAAATTAATGTTTTCCCTCCTAATCTTCTCTACGTGGCTTCTGACCGTGCTGTCTGTTGCAGTTTGCTCATGCTTTATAAGACACAGGAAAAAAAATATGCAGACAAATCACAAGGCAGTGATTATTACTGAGTTGCTGCCTCTCTTCATAAGCTCGCTGTACCAGGAATTGGCAAACAACCCCCAGACAAACATGCTTTCAACTCATTAAACAACTACAATACAATGTACTTATAAACGTATTTACTGTAACTGAGTCGCATTTTTCATCCAAATATCTGACTGGCACATGGTCCAGAGCCAACCTTTCAGCAGCTCCAGGTTATATACACACTTAGTCCCCAAAATGAAAAAGTTGGGGAATATTTGGGTGCAGCATTCCCTCAGCCAGAGACACGGCGCGGGCGTCGCTTTGCCTGCAGCTTTACTATCGGCACAGATTTAGCCAGAAACCACCACCCAGCCTCAGGCTGCTCCCAACCCTTCGCAAATATGCCACAACTCCCCATTCTTGACTCTTTTTTCTGCTCTAAGCAGCAGTGTGAAAGCAAGGAGCCCCTTTGCAGAGGCACAAAAGGAGGCAAATTCACACGGCGCTGGGACGGAGCAGGGCAGCTCTTACCTCTCCCTTGGGATGGATGAACGCCCGGAGGGTGCAGGAGCCTGGGGACGATGCAGCTCAGCCTTCAGAGCAGCACGAGGCCTGGCCTGTGCTCATGAGCTGCCCCTGTCAGATTTTCCAACAGCAGAACTGCAGCCAAGTCCCTGCCCATGCCTGAAGAATTTCCTGAACAGCATTCCCGTTCTTTTTCTAACTGCTTTGAAACCACACTGTCTGTACTTCAATAAGGCTTTGTCAGGCCAAGTTACAGCTACTGGGCTGGCTCCAGCAAGCAATTGAAAACACATGTGTTTTGCATTAAAAGCCCCCTTCTCCCTGCACACATTCAGACACAGACACCCCCGTCTGCACCCAGCCCCGGAGCCTGCCTGCCCTGCCTGCACTGCCATTGCGGTTAAAAGGAATAAAGGGATTATGTTGGTGGAGATTTTCTTTGAGAGAAGGAAAAATGGGGTGGGAGGGATCCCATTCCCACTGATAACACCTCACGATGCCTCCTCTGCTTTGCTGGTGCCATGGGCATCCAGGTGAACAGCCAGCTTTGCCAAATCCCAGCAAGCAAGGAAGCACAGGGGATAAAATTTCAGTTCACCACAACTCTCCCCTTACCTTTGCCTCTGTCTCTTCTAAAACTATGAGAAAAGAAAGCATATTTTTAGCATCTCTAGACTGAGTTCAGCACATCAGAACTGTATCCTAATCTTGACACATACTCCTGTATCTGCTTATACTAAAAATAATACAACTATTTTTGAGTACTTTCATCCCTCTCTGCTTTCCAGCTGTCCTAACCTTTATAACCCAAAATATTTTAAGCACCTTGCATCTCTTTTTAAAGAGCATTAACACCGCTCTGGCATTGGCTTAAGGAAAAGAAATAGAAGATATAATGTTATACCTTGAATCAGAACGGGTCCCAGTTCTTAATATCTGTAATCATTTCCAGGCAGCACCATGGGTCAGGGCAGCAAGCGTGGGCTCTGCAGCTGGGGATGCCCTGTGCCTGGCATGTGCCTGGCAGGCAGAGCTGGAGTAGATGTGGAAGCGCACATGGATGTTCCCCCTTATTCCACCACGGCTAAGTCCCACCAAAGATGAAACACAGCAGCAGAGTTGTCAAGGTAACAATATAGAAAAGAGACAGTTTAAAGAGAGAGAGAGAGATTTTTCCCCTCCTAATGCTCCTTTTCAAACCGTGCACTTCACTTCTTTGGGGTTACTCTGTTCTGTGGTTTGCAGAGGTGTGGTGGGCAGGTGAAGTGTTTAGAAGGGATAAAGGCAGTGGAGATTAGAAGTAAAGAGAGCTCTGATCCAGCACTCTCTGGAGGCAGAGGAAACCTGCTGCCTTCCACAGGCTGTGGATTCAGTCCATGGCAAGGACTCATTCACCCACAGGAATGTGACATCTGCCTTTCACCCATCAGCTGTGAGATCTTACAAAACCCACGTGGGATGGAAAGCCTGCAGTTCATCCATCCAAGCTGCTGTGAGAGCTGCTGTGGCCACACCATGCCTGGCTCTTGCCTGCACTCTGCCCTGCTACCAAAATGCTGTTTCCTTCATCCTGCACAGAGCCACACAGGGGTCAGCAGCACTGCCCTGGTGCACAGGCCAGATGTGGGCAGCCTGCACCAGCCCCCAGGCTGCCATCAGTGGGGATGGATCCAGGTCAGTGGGGATGGATCCAGGTCAGTGGGGATGGATCCAGGTCAGTGGGGATGGATCCAGACAAGGATGCTGTTCTGCAGAAGATAGGATGAAACCACACAGTCATCCTGCCTCAGTTTGCAAGACTTACAAACCAAAGGCGAGCACACACACACAACCATTGGTGGTGGCATTTCACATCTATTTGCACAGCTTGTGAGGAGTCAGCTTGTGCCAGAGCGCACATCTGGATCACAGATCACACGAACTGTCTGTGCAGCTCAGTCTCCTCCACAAACTACCACAGCCATGGCAATACTCTTTGGGTTGGCAACCAGCAACAGCTGAAACCAAAGGCGCCTGTACCGAAGTCTCTTGGTATAAATAAGCTGAAACAGAAAAATATGAACTGCAGATTCACATAATTAGATTTTCAGTTGTACAAGACAATCAGGCATCTGCAGAGCTGTTTGCAAGATGATAGCAGCCCGTGCCTTCTGTCTCAAATTTCCCTGTGGTCTTTATTCAGCAAACCAGCTCTGGATGGGGCAGGCAGTAACTTCAGTGGCTCGCCGTGTGTTTTGAGTTAAGCACATGCTTTAGTGCTTTGTGGTCCAGGACTTTTTATGGCAGCCTGGCTCTGGCAGGATCATTAGTCCAATCATTCAAAACATGGCAGTACAGCACTTTGAGATTACCCAGTTCTTTACATAAATAACAGTAAATCAGTGGGTTTCAAATTTTTCTCGCTGCGCAGACCCCTAAATATTTGACAGAGGTGGTGCATAGCCCTGTAATCATTTCACAGAGAGAGATTCCTCCATACCTTACAAAACCACCTCTTAACTTGTCATTTTTCCCTGGGGATAGTCCCCAGGCCTCCCATACATCCGTGGCCCACAGGCTGGAAACTGCTGCTGGAGATAACTTAATCCCTTATTAAAAATCTAAATGATCTCTTCTGTTTATGTGATGTACTTTCTATCTTCAGAATATTTATGCGAGCTAGCAGCAGGCTGGCAGGTAGAGACACAGGGAGGTGACAGCATTAATACTGCATTTTTTCCACTGGCATAATTAGTAGGCCAAGTCTATAAATATTTACATTAAATCTGTCAGGCATCACACCAACCTCACTGATAACTTCAGGGGTGTCTTACTGTAAACTGCATTAATGCCTCACTATTTTGTCATCAAGTAACACATAAAATGCTCCTTCAAGCTAAGCCACTTTGAGTGGGTTGTTTTTATCTCCTTCTCATTTGGGTGCAGGGTTTAAAGACACTTCAAGCATCAGAACTGTGGCTCCGGGACTGTTCTATTTTTCTGTTATTGAGCTATCATTTGTATTAGTGCCAGCACGACCAAAAATATATGAACCTTGCAAGCATAAACCTTAAGTTGATGTCGACATAACTATCTGTGTAACTGCTATTATTCCTCAGAACTGGCAGGGTTATGAGGATTAAAAAAACCTACTAGAGCTCTTTGGGAAGATGAAAACAAATTAACCCCCCTCAAAGCTTCAGTATCTTTGCAGCTGGAGACTGCAACACATAGGGACTTCCATTTTGTGCAGGAGATCCAATCCACCTGGATCCATGAATTTCTACACTATGAAGAGACCTACAAAAGACAGGAAGCAAAGGTCCTTCTCTACCATTTATACCTGCCCTCACTTTTGACAGCATTTTCTAGAAACAGCTGGAATTTATCAACTATTTACTACTGAATTATCAATATTCATAATTAATTTCATTTAATAAATAACATCTATTTGCATACAAAAGGAAACTTGAGATTTTCATGTTGTGCAGATTTCCAGGAACTCTCTCAAGCATTCCCCAAACCTTCCTAAAAAATTCAGGGCAAACCAAATATGCAGAAAGAATCAGCATGTAAATGCAGGTGTGGGTGCACCTGGAGTGGAAGAAGTCAAAATGAAACTTTTATTATCTGAAATAATTAAGCAATCCCTTGGTTTGAGCTTTCCCTCCAAATTATTTCTTTTAAAATCCATTAAATCTCTCAAGGCATCACAACAGAATAAATATAAATGTTTAAATATTTTTAATGTCTCAACTGAAAGAAATCATCTGCCAAATTATGATTATTTTAAATCACCCTCAGCCTTGGAGCCTTTTAAGAGCTCTCTGGAGTACCTGTGTGCAAAGGGAGAAGCCAAGACTCATTTCAGCTCCATCTCCTTAAATGCAGAATTAAGGGAGCTGATGGAAAGTTAACTATTTTGGGTCAGGAGCAGCAAGCTGAGGGAAGGCAGCTATTGGCATTGCTGATGGATTCACCCAGCCCCGAGCAGGCAGAGAGGATGGAGGGCAATGCCATGAGACAAGGAGGGGGTTGCTGTAGGGGTGGAATGCTGCAGTGCAGGGAGAAAACCCTTCCCTGCGTGTGCAGGGAGTGATTCTGACTTGATGGCAGGGAGCAAAACCCTGTTTAAGTGCTGGGACTGCTGAAGGCACACAGGTCTCCAAGCAATCACACAGGGCTGAGATGAACGTGTTGGACGAGTGCAAAGGAAATGGGAGAAAATGAAATGTGTGTGTTTGGACATGGCTGTGTATTGGAACAGACCTGCAGCGCCTGCATCCCCCTACACCCTCACCCACTGCTCCAGTTTCTTCACAGGAGATAAATATGGTTACTTCTTAGAAAAAAGGATAAATATAGGACTGGTCATGAGATGCAAGATCTGCTAATTCTTGGAGACTAAAGAGAAAGGGGGACAGAGCTACTCTTGTAGACAGGAGTTCCAAGGATGCTCCAAATTTCATACAGATGAGAAACTCCAGTATCAGCAGAGATGGCCCTGGAGACCCTGAAACCCATGACACTGAGTTATTTAGACCTGAGTACTAAATTTTCCCCTTCTATTCATCCCAGACTTAGCAAACAGTGCAATAACATCAGCAAATCAAAGGAAACACAGCAAATCAAAGGAAACACAAGAAAAAGTCCTGTTTTCATAGTAATGTTACAGGTGAGCTGGGCAGCAGCAGGTCAGGGCAGGAGTCAGTGTTGCTTGCAGAAGGCCAAAAACACAAGAGGAGCTCAAGAGAAGGACTGAGCTTTCACGAGAGGCCAGACTCAGAGAGCTGCTGCTCAGGGTCTGGAGTTCAGAAACATCCACATCTCTGCTGCTGCTATGAGACGAGGATCAAAGTGGCAAAAAGTCATCACCAAAGGCACCTTCCCCTGCACAGGCTCAGGAGAGCTGTCAGCAAGGGAGGGTGGGAGGATGGAGGTACCCAGCACACCAGAACAGCAGCAGGCTCAAGCTCCCCTGTGCTCACATTGATGTGCAACACCTACACTGAGAGCAGCTCACTCCCAAGGCTCTTTTCTCCCTTTTCTCCTTAGGGTCCAAACCTGCTCTCCCCTGAGCCCATTTGCAGCCTGCAGTGTTCCCAACCCTAAAGCTCTGTGCTGTGTTCCTTTCCCCACAAAAGCTGCACAGTGTTCACCTGTCAGCCCAAAAAAAGCCACAGCCAGGACCTCACCCAGCCCACCCCTCTACCCCAACTGCTGCTTCATAATTATTTTGATGATTTCAGCCATTTTCAGGCTCTTCTCAGAAATAATTTAAGGCCAGCAGAGCTTGTTAATAGGTAGAATGGAAAGTGTTCCTTTTCATTTCTCTGGCAACATTAATGTAATTATCCT